CATCTCTGGCAACAACTGTTTATTCGTAGGGTTAAAAAAAGGCAACAATTTTATATTCAACTTTAGGAGAAATTGAAATTCCTTCTTTAACAGACATGAACAGCATTTTGAAGGTATATTTTCGGCATTAATAATTCTATTTACTATTGACATAAAAATGATGAGGATAGGGGCCGTTCACTTATTACGTTACGCAAAAACGACTTTTTTCACCTTCCCCCCCCCTCCCCCATTGTTACAATATGTTACAACTCACAACCCCCCCCCCCCCCCCCCCCCCCTTAACGTTCATCATTTTGTTTTATTTCTTTTAAATCTAAAAAGACGGTTAAATTTCTTTTGTATTTTTTTCTTAAAATCAAAATACTGTACAGCTTAATAGGTCATGTTTTGATTGATACTATTAGTATTCTCATGAATTATTTAAAAATTTGTTTTTTATTTTGAAGAAAATTCAAAAATGTCATGAAAAATATTATGCCCGATCGAATTTTGGAAAATTCAATCAACTTTGAATGTAAATATCACAATGATGGGATCATATTAATCATCATATGAATGACAGATTTAGAGAGATTTACTTTTAAACTTATGATTGATTTAACTTTGAAAATTTCCACAAATTTTGATTGTATTTTAAAGTCTTGTAAACCAGTTTTCTATTGATTTGTTACTTTATATAACAAAAACTATGTATTGCTTAGCTATCAAAAGTGATCTAGACATTCATAAATCATTAAAAAGGTGGAAAATTTAAAAAAAATTTTATGGTGTGAATTTGCAAACAAATTTTTTTCTTGAACTTTTTTTTTGAAGACAGACGACAGTTAGAACGTTACATACTTTTTGACACCCCCCCCCCCCCCCTTATGTTACATTTTATTGATTCCTGCAATTTTATCCATAAATAGCTATAAATTCAATATATTTAGTATTAAAGTGTTGAATTGAACATCTAGGAAGAATTAGAATATTATTATTATTTATTATTATTATTTTTTTTTATTTCTCCATTTTATCTTTTTTAAGGAAAAGCCATTTGAAATGTATTTGCACAATTTCATCCGGCATAAAAACCTTAATTAACTTATTATTACAAATATTGTTTAAGATTCAATGATATATGAATATCGTTTAAGAACTTGAAATTAACGAGATATATTCATTTAAAACATTAACGGTTAAAATAAATTTAAATTATTGAGATTTTGTCGTACTAGACTTTAGACTTTTGGTGTGTGTCTTGGCGTGTAAATAGTGAATATCAATAATTTATAGTTGTGATGTGAAATAGTTTATTTGAAACTTATTCAATTTTATTAAACATTAATGCAACCTAGAACTTAGTAGCCACTTACGACGTCCATCAAAAAAACATAATTTTTTTACATGTTTTATGTTTATTATTTGTCAGACTCTTATGGCATACCCCTCATCCCCCAAATGTTCGACGTCATAAGTGAACGACACCTTATGTAAAATTGTCACATTTAATTTAATTTACCGTTTATTGAATTTGTAGTGATTCACTGCGAACTTATAACCTTTGACACGTTTCTGTTTAAAGACTTCACCAGTCCAAGCTGTTTCTCTAGTATTTATCATTATAAATAATGACGAGCTGTGTAGATCTCTTAAGTTACATGGCGTCAAATTTTTAAAAACTAAAGATGCATGAACAATTTTTCTTGAGATGCAAGTGCTCAGTTCCCTAAGAAGAAGTTTTCGTCCTGTGTTTCGACTCGAATGATGATGATGTCTTTTTACTCCATTGTGAAGTGTAGGGCGTTTATAAAACTTTTGAATTTAACGCGATTGCTAGCTAATGCCGCAAGCTCACTGAGTTGATAGCCCTGCTGAGCCGCTTTTTTACGAATAGACGATTGCCAGAATACAGCTTGTCGTGTTATATGTGCAGGGTCTTTCCTTAACGTTTGACCAATCTAGCCCCATTTCCTGTTGCCTATATCATCGGCAATGGGCTCCTGCTTCCTCAAAGCATACATTTGGATGATCAAAAAGGTTTGAATTGTTCCATAGCATAAAATTACAAGCCATCACTTTACTAGAATTGCATTCAATGATTTCAGTTGAATTTTAACTAATAACAAGTATCAATGTTTACACAAACTATGCAATTATTACCCAAGCTACACATAAAGTTCAAACTAAATTCATTGACACCACAAAGTTGTGGATCCACATAACATCAAGTCACAGAAAGAGCAAAACTTCAAACACTTTACATCATAATAAAAGTCATTGTGTGAAGTTTTCTGTAATAATACATGTCATAACAAAACATTCTCTAAGGTTTCCATTTCAAGAAGCTTGTGTGGCATTAAATGTCACTCGTCATTCAAATTTGATTTTCCAACCGGTTACAGTGATTGAATGTGTTATGTACGCAAATATATTCTCTTCATATGTTAATTTATTTAGAAATATCTTGAGATCTTTCAATAATGTGAAATTGGTTTTGAGGAAGGAGCTTGAAAATGATACGAAAGGGGTTGGTTTAATGAAAGCATTCTTGATGTGCAAATGAAATGAGAATTAAAATGAATAACATGGGATTATTGTAAATGATATTAAATTGTGTATACATTGGTATTGTGCTGAGTATTTGTTGTGAAGTAAATGATATGAAGACAGGTGGATGTAGCTTCTATATTGGTTTAATTTCTAAGATGTTGTATGAGATTAAATTTGGGAAATGTTCTTTTGAGTCAATTCAAAAATTGGTTTTCAAATTGGGTCAGTATGTGTGTATGGATAGGAATTATTTGGGAATTAAGGATTATATGATTTTAAGAACTAAAAGAATTGGAAGTTCATCAAAAATATTAAAAAACATAATTTTTATTTTTTTGAAAGTCTATCTAATGTACTGAACCATATATATGCGAATCTTTCAGTGCAAGAGCATAGTCTCTGTGGTTGAATGACTAAACGACACGAAGAAAATTATACCTCGTCATTTTTAAATACGTGCGTTCAATTCTCATCAGAGATTGATTTTGTAATACTCATAATATTATCATAGCTGAAGATAATTGAACTACAAAATTCCCAAAGTTTCAATATCTTTACAAAACATAAAAGCCTTCAAACTTCATTAAATTTTCAATGGCCACTTCCAGTTTTCCCTGCTTATGTAAACAAAACATTCAAATTTACATATTTTTAAAAGCTCTCAAAAAAAAAGTTTAATTAGACACTTCATTTCAAACGGAAACTCATTCATTGCTAACAAAAAATTCTCAGGCATTTCAAACAAACTTATTATTTACTCTTATGAATGTGAAAATTGAAGTATCTTCATTATGCGAGTTCATTTCATCTCTCAACATCGTCAGTATTTATTTTGTGTACGTTCATACATTCCAGAAACATGAAAAGTATTACAAAACATGCAAAATAAAAATTGCTAAATTCATTTTAAAAAGACACGAAAACCCGTGAGGAAATACACAAGAGAGAATTCAGGCTTTCAAAATTGATTCTCGTATTTTTCCTCTTTTCACATCATTTATTATTTACATACTATGTGTATGCTGGGATATGCAGGTACATTAGCGAGACAAATTGAATTTTTTTCGTTTTGGTTAAAAATCTAATTTTTGAAAAAAGCTTTCATTCTTAATTTGCATAATAATTTAAAATTGCAAATTTTACTCATGTGAAATGTTGATGATGTGCTTTAATGTCTTTTTGATCTGATATTAAGGCATAAAAATCGTATTCTCATTATATTGAGGAATTTTTAACAATTTTTTTTAAAGTTCTAAAATGCAAATTTTTCTTTTAAACATATCAAACCTCTCTACGACCATCCTAAAGCAACAATTACAATTTAAAAAATATAAAATTTCTCTAGAATGTAAAATTATGACCGAAGTGATTCAGCAGATTAAATTTCATATTTCATTGTGGTAAATTGTGAGTTAAATTATAACAATTTTCACAACTTACGAAGGAAAAGCCATAATTAATCATGCATTAGACATTATGAGCATATCAAGATATGGTAAAATAAAGCAACATATAGCATAATTGCAATTTATGGAACTATGCAAGTGCTTGATGAATGCTATTATTTAATTTTCTAGGAAATAGATTAATATTTTAGTATTATCAAGATTTTATATAACATTTTGAGCATAGAGCTCATCTCGTATGTGCTCAATTTGAAGAACTATTTGAGCTATTGTACAATAATACAAAATTTAATATTTTTCGTAACAAATGAAATTTGTAATCTTTTCACTTAAATGATTTGATTAAATGTTGACCCCATGCTGACCTCGTATACCAAAAAATGGGTTTTTGTATTTTTAATGTATTACTTTTTGCTATAAATAATAATCATAAAAGAAAACATACATTCGCATCTTAATGTTCAACTCTAATCTGAACATTCACGAATCTCTCGTTTTAAACGTATAAATAATGAAGACATTTCTGTAAATAAATTCATTCTTATTTCATCATTTCTAATCGAAAATAATTGTTTATTTGCATTAAAAAAGGTTTTTAAAAACTAAACAGTCAATGTGGCAAAAATAGTGAACAAATTGGAATTAAAAAATGAGAAACTTGTGTAAGTTTCGTATTAATTTAATTAACACAAAGGTAAAGAATCTGGAATGGAAAAATATATTGCCAGCTTTGGACAAGACTTGTGATTAAATCCAGTTACAAATTAGCACAAAACCAGATTTTTTGCTCCTGTGTCACGTTTATAAATTTATTCATTTAAAATTATATGAAAAAATTATCTTAAAGCTCGCATGATTGATTGTCAGCCCAGACAAACCTCAACATACCTTGCTTCAATGAATTGGTATGATATAAACACACCAAAGGACTACAAAGATGACTTAAAATTAAAAACAGATGGCAAATCAAAGAAAAAATATTTAAAATATTTTAACATAATTGTCAGCCTGATGATGCTTGCTTGTTTGGTTGTTTTATATCTCTACAACCAAGCAAATATGTCTAGTAGTTTATTTAAGCAAAATAGCGCTAGAGATGGATTCTTGAGGAGAAGAATTTTAAGTGTAGATAGTCAAGTTACTTCTGAATGGGACAAATTGTCGCGACGAGACAAAATTAGAATTTTAGACTCAAATTTTGATTTTCAAGGCAAAACTATGAAGTTCAATAGTTTTAATAATTTATATCCTGAGCTTATTAAGACTTTGACATTTGATCAGTTGAAAAGTGTGTTATATAAACAAAAGCTAGTTATTGGAAGGAAAATCGAAAATCATACTGATTATTATGTAGATCGTCGATTTCTTCATGAAGATGCAAAATTGATTTGTTTTGAGTTTCAATTTGGACATGAATTTATTCAAACTTACGATGATCCTTACGAGCATCAAGACAGCAGAACAGCTGGTAGAACATTTAAAGAATTTTATGAAGAATTTTTCAAGTTAAGCTTTAAAGAACGTTCTCAAATTTTCACTAAAGTAAGGAAAAATGAATTTTATCAAAGTTGTAATTATGATTTAAATGAAGATATTTTTCATTTCCTTAATGTAAGTTCTAATGAGATGATAAAGCAAGCAGAAAGGGATAAAGTTTTAGTTTTATCATCAGATACTGGTTTGGGAAAGACAACAGCTTTAAAGCATATAGCAGTAGAATTTAAAAACAAATTTCCAACAAAATGGGTTTCTTATATTGATCTTAAAATCTTTACAAATCTTTTTAAGTCAGATCCTAATGCAGACAAGGTTGAAGAATTATTGATGAAAATTCTAGATTTAAATTTAGAACGAAATAGTTTTGAGGTTGAAGTTTTTCGAGAATCTTTTAAATCGGGCAATGTAGTTCTATTTTGGGATGATTTTGGAGAAATTTCTTCAGATTATGTTTTAAAATTCTTAAAATTCATTCGAGAAAATAGTTCAAATATTCAATTTGTATCTACAGATATTTCTTATTCAGATCAATTTGATGTTCGTACGTTATTATTGAATCCTTTTGATCAAAATGAGAAACAGGAATTTTTGAGGAAGTTCCTAATGTCTGAAAATCCTCTAGATGTCAGTATCGACGAAAAAGTTAAAAATATTAATGATTTCATTAAAAAATTTGATTTTCATAATGAATCTTCTTCTGAATTTAATAGCCCAACAATTTTAAAGCTAATAGTAAGCTATCGTGATATTGCATTTCCTTTAAAATATGACAACATCTATAAAATTTATGAATATATTATTGATAGTAAGATTGAATTTTGGATTCACCAAAATGAAAATTTACTTAATGGAAAATCCAAATCAACTGTTAGAGATTTATTAAAAAGAATTTTACAAAAATATGCATTGATAAGTCAAATTCATGCTTTTAAAATCTCAACATCTTTCTCGAAATTGTTAAAGTTACAAATTATGCAAATAGAACTTCCAGAAGATTTCCCACTTAAAGAAATTTCACAAATGAAACTTTTTAATGATAAAAATATATTTTACCATTCCACATTTTCGCAATTTTTTGTCGCTCAGTACTTCATTGAAAATATTTTTAATGTTGATGATCTTGTAGATAGTGACGAAGCTGAAATAAGACTTGAAATATTTCATCATATGGTCCACATTTATGGTGATCACGATCGAATTATAACTGATTTTATGAGCTCATACCTTCTTACCAGAGATAAAAATAAAGATAAAAATTTTAATTCGTTGATTTCAACACTTTTGAGGACAAAATTTAAAAATTTCTTCATTCGGATTTTGGATACAAATTATTCAGATGTTTTTAAGTTTTTATTTGAGTTTTTCAAGAAAGACCACGATCTAGTTGTTGACTTATTGCATGTCAATGAAGTTGAAACCTTCTACACAGCAATTTTTAATCCAAATCATTTTGCGCTGTTTACCAATCCAGATGAAATTAAAGTTTTAGCCAAAAATTGTTTAACTGATGAAGAATTTGATAAATTTGTGACTGGAAAGAATCAAAAGGGTGTCATTTTGTCTGGAATTTACTTTTATAATTTGCTTAATATCTCAAAAGTAAATGATGGATATAATGTTGAGCTTCAGACATTTAACAATGGTAATTATTCATTTTGGGAATTCTTGAATAAAATCAAAGAGTCATTGACCTTAAACGAGTACAGACAGCTTCTAACAGCTTTGCTGAGTCCAAAACTTTATTTGTTTTATGACAAATTATTCAGCGATTCCGTTTTTTCTGACTATAAAAATCTTTGGTCAACTGTTGAAAGCTTATCAACAAAAAGTCAAATATCAGAAATATTAGGAAATACTTTACATAACATCCTCGAAGTAATACCTCAAAATAAAAATGATTACGGCCAGTATTCGTCTTTTTTGCTAGATAAAGCTGAAAAATTGCTTTCAAAATCTGAAATTTACGAAATGTTTTTAAATAAAAATATTTTACACGAAGCCGTTTGGGCTGATTTTGAAGGATTATGGAACTACTTCGAAAATCAAACGACAAACGAACAGCAACGATCAATTTTACTTAAAAACGATTTTGACGACAAAAACTTTTATTTCTATCGATCATATTTGGAAGAAAAAGCAAATCTTTCTAGTTCCATGTATCAATATTACCCTTATGACTTCACGCCATACAATATATTTCATAGATCTTTAGTAAGACCAAGTGCACCTACATATGACATCACAAAACAAATCTATGATAATCATTTTAACAAAGCAGAAATGCAAGAAATGATTTTAAGTTCAAATCACTTTATTATTGTCTTAATTACAATGACTGATAAAGAACCTTGTGAGAGATTTGTAGAATACTTAGAAAAATTATTTGAAGAAAATGAAAATCTCTTAAAAAAATATTTGGAAGAAAAAATTAAGCCAACAAATTTATCACTTTTGGAATATGTGAAAAAATTGACGAATTATACTGACTTCTTAGACCAATTAATTAATTTAAAATCTTTTACTAATTTGTATGAAAAGTTGTAAAAAGTAAGAATTTTTTGTAGAATAAATTGATGGATTTAATAATTTTTTATGTAACATAATTTTCAAAATATTTTAATTTTAAATGATCTATAAATTTTAGTTCGATAAGTTCAAATCAATATTAATTCATGACCCTCAGTCATGTTTAAACATTGGAAATAAAGTTAAAAAAATTATATTCTATAAGCTATACCACAAATGATCTAAAGTAGAAATAAACTCATGATGGCTGATTTACTGAATGGCACAAGTCGGTTAATCGAATATAAATCCGGTGCCAAGCCGGCATGACTCTAGCATGGTTCAATTTAAATATAGTACCGCGCCAGAGTCACACCATCTATCTATCTACATCAAACGACTTGTTTCATTCGGGATACTTCAATTACGATATAAGGAGGAAATCAGAATATAAATAAAACGTGTGGAAATGAAAATGTATTCAAATGGAATAATTAAATTACATGTTTACGATCCTAGTCAATCCTATCTCTTAAATATACTTGTGTCATAAGTATCTACACGTGACATTTATCTGGAAATAATAATAATACGCTTGAGTATCAACTCGGCACTTCCGTAAATGAATTTCATTCAATTTTTTTTATCAGTGAATATTTTTACATTTGACGAAAACAGGTAAAATGACATGAAAAAAGTAAGGCAACAACATCTCATAAAGATTATGGTTTAATGAGTATAAAAGTGTGATACGTGTTGTGACTACAAAAATATCAAAATTTGTTAATGCGTTCCTATGGAAATATGAGAATTCCAAAATAATAATCACAAAATTCTTTCATCCTTACTCATTTCATTTCATTTAATATAGTCAGTATAGTGGATGTTAAGGGAAACCTAAAAGTATCTAAATCATGTCATGTGCATAGATTATTATTATTATTTCTGTGTTATGTTTATCAACCACAAGCTTAAAGAGTTTTGACCTTTTAGAAAAGCATGATGGGATTATGGGGATTTGTGAAATTTTTGATGTAAATTTGTAGGTTGCATGTGATATGGAGCAGTTTCTGTGATGTTGAACTGTTAATTTTTTTTATAATTCTAGCGGGTTTTAAAAGAAGCTATACGGGAAGTTATAGTAATTGGAGAAAGCTGATTAAGAGACATTAATTATTCATTTCCTGATTAACATAAAGTATGTGAATCCTTGTCATATCGACAACACTCTATATAATGATTGAGATGTCGGTGTCTAGTGGGAATCGAACTCACGTTCTCACAAAAGATGGTTACAGATATCCGGTCTGTTGCTTAACCACTTGCGTCACAGAGGCCTTACTATCGCAATGGCAGATTCATCTTTATAAGGCGCGATATCTCGATTCTATTCTGCTCAAAGACCACAGTATGGAATCCAGGAAAATTAATCAAATGAAATATTGATATGGCTACCAAACTGAAGCTTATGTCGTTCAGAATGCCACAAAAGAAGCTTTTTGGATCTCAAAACTTCGGCTTTTCGATGTTAAGTCTTTAAATAATAAGATTAACATCTGGATAAACCAGGATAAACCATGATGTTGAGCTGCATCATCAATTCTTACTCTCGTACTCATACAACTGTTAAATATATAATTCATTGTCTTTCAATCGACTAAAGTTACAAAAACTACTCCTGACTATAATTTAATTGAAAGCATGTTTTATTTCCATAAAAAAATTACACGTCCCGCCATATTAACAAGCACATTATTCTTGTTTTATTTCACCATTAAAAATAACAAAATCGATAGAGCAAACAGAACGATAGAAACAGATATTCTGCTAGCAAAACTAAAGTTACAACCATCTGCTATTCTATCTGATGGACAGGTTTCACAATGTCCATAAGAGCAAGTATCCGAGCTGAAATCTGCCAAGCATCCTCGTACAACTGTCAAAAAAAGATTTTGTTTGTTATTAGAAATTATAGATTTTTTTTAATGCACGTGGACTTACCTCTGCCATCTGAGTACGATATTTTGATACAATTTTCTGGACTGTTATAACTCTTGCATGGAAGTGTATTATTTGATGTTTGGACCTCACCACAATGTTCATCCTTTGTACTGTCACAATAGTAACATTGAAGTCTCTTTAAAGGAATTAATTTGTTATTTGATCCATCACCAGATGAAATTTGACATTCTGCGAAAACCGAAGTATTACGGCAATTATTGATATCGATAGCTGTAAGTGATCCTTTACACCCCCTGAGTGTTCTGCCATCTAATTAACGAGAAAAATATTATTTGGAAATTGATATCCATCCACAAATAAACTGCTAAAGTATTAAATTTTTGGGTTATAATCAGTAATAATTAACAATTTTCCACTTTAATGGGCAGATTAATGAACATTGGGTATTGGATTCAACAGTACATAAAAAATCAATTGTTTTGAGTCTCCAAAAAATGAGCAATAACTGCCACAAATCATACCTGAAATTCTCGCATAGCACTCTCCATCACTTGGCAACAAGCATTGCTCTGATATCAACTGTTGTGGTTGCTGTGCACATTGTGGATTAATATCGGATTTACATACGATGCACCTCTCATCAGATCTAACATTATTCGTGTTACAATTGCTAGTTGAGCAAGTCAAACATGTGTTATTATTTGCAGTACATACAGTTTGGTCAGTTGTGGATTGATCAGCAAAGCAGCCTTTCTTATCAACTCGGTCTGAAAGTGAAAAATACAATTAATGCTAATTACTGCAGCTATGTAAATATTATCCTTACATCCATTAAATATCGTAACACATGTCTCATTTTCTCGGTGCCTTACACAAGACATTTTCGTTGGATTAATACAGTCCGTAGAGTTGTTGCATGTTAGACATTCCATTCTGTTATTTGGATAGTTAATGACATTGCATTTATCAAAATCAGCACATGATACACAGTTCGTAGCGCTGGTACACGTTCCATTATTTAAGTCTTCTAAGCATCCTCGGTACAAGTCACCGTTTATGAGTCTCGTGTAACATCCTCTGTCGCAATATTTAGTAGGCACAACTCTTGGATTTAAGACACAATTTTTATCAGTGACTGAGTCACAAATGGCGCACATTTTAGAGCTGACAGATGTTATGTTATTGCAGCCAGCAGTTCCACATTCTATACAATTTTTATAGTTTTGACTACAATAAACGTTGTTGTTTAAGGAAGAAGAACATCCGCGTTCTATAACTTTATTATCAGCATTAAAAACTGACACACATTTCTCCTGTTGACCATAATTTGGACAGTAATTGATATTGTCATCAGATACTGTTTGACAATTGTTTGAATCATGACATATGTGACATGACAAACGATTAGTAACTGGATACGTAATTCCATTACAGAAATCATCTTGGCATGAAATACATTGATATTGACTATCTTCATCTATGCTACATGTATGATTTGAGTATGTAGCATAGCAACCACGCACATTTTCGCCGTAACTGTTTAATCCGACATAGCAATTTGATAAGCAATTGATAACATCAGATGGATGACTTGGAACTAAGCATTCTCGTCCACTACACTTATAGCACTTAAATCCTCTTCTCGTTTGATCTATATTGCAGTTACTTCCTGAGCTGCATTTTGTGCATGCGATATTTGAAGAATCATCACAAACTTCTTGAGTACCAATTACAGCATCACTGTAGCAACCACGATAAATGACATCTTGTCTGTTAGCAAATATTGTGATGCAAGCTTGTTTTTCCTGATTAAATAGTGCACAACGTTTGGTAACTGTTGATGTTTTACAATCAGCACCGCTACAATGTCTACACGAAATGAGATTAGTTGGATATACAATATTATTGCATAATGAACCTTCACATGTTGTGCAATTCGTACAAACTGGATTGCTGCTTGGCAAATCCGATACACATCCCTTTTCTATGTAGTTCCAGTTATTATCTGCGGGAATTAATCTTGAATAGCACTGATTTGTTGTGCATGCTTTTGTATTTGGTGATGTATTATTTGATGTACAGGTTGGATCCGTTTTTGAATTGCATGATACACAAGAGTAAATTTCATCTCTAGATATTTGTGTATTGCATCGATTTGTATTGCATTTTAGGCAGTTCGTGCTGTTTTGATTACATACAGCTGAATTTTGAACGGTGGATAGGCATCCTCTTTCAGCGATTACATTCTCAGTATTAAATATCGAAACACAACGTTCGTTTAGACTCAGTTGCTCACAGTACTTTTCATTAATTGAAACTTCATCACATGCCGTTCCATAGCAATCCATACAGATAAGACGACTCTCAAGTGGAAATACGATTGCATTGCAAAAATCTTTATCACAAATTAAACACGTTTTTGATGCTTCCGTGTCGACATTTATTGAGCAGTTACTGATATTTTGGTAGCTTGATGCACAACCTTTATGAGTAAAACCATTGTTATCGACACCTACATAGCAACTCCCTGTTTGACAGTCAACAACATTTGCCGGATATCCGGAAGTAAGACAGTCAAGTCCCACACATTGAATACATTTAGTTCCGCGCCTTTCTCGCGCTATATTGCAATTGCTTCCGTTACATTTTGTGCATGAAATGTCATTCGAGTCGGAACATAAAGTTTGAGTTTCCTTGCTTACGTCGCTGTGGCATCCTTTAAAGACGACTTTTGAGTCTAGATTGAGAAAAATGATAAGTTTATTGAATTTAAATTGGGAAGTAATGAGAAGTATTGAAAAATGTGATGTAATATTTTGGAAATGTTTGTAAATGACATCCATATTTTAAGAACAGACGAGGAAGTGAAGTAGCTGTAAAGTCCTATCTTCTCAAAGACGTCATTTATAATCAACTCTCGATTACATTACCTTCATTAAATATCGTCAGACAAGCAGTGTCATTTGCATGATAAGTCAAGCACGGTTCCTTTATCATTTCCAAATCACTAACGTCACAATCACTTCCAATACATTTAAAGCACGATAGTCGATTTGATGGGAAAATGACTGAATTACAACGCTCGCCTTCGCACTCAACGCAACTGCCTGATGAGCATGATGTGCCGATTGAATCACTACATCCTCGTTCAATATTTTCATTATCATTGGTTGCAAAACGACTATAGCATTTGCCTTTGCATCCAATTGTTTGAGATTCTTTTGGATTTGTCACGCAAGTACTATCAAGTTTGGAATTGCATGAGACACAAAAGTTCTTTTGTTCGAGTGACGTTTGAACATTGCAATTATCAAATTGACATTGAATACAATTTGCTTGATTATTTGTACAATATTGAGCACTTGAAAGTGTCGATAGACATCCTCGTTCAGTTGTTTGATTTAATGAGTTGAATACTGTAACACAAGCTTCATGAGTACCCAAAACTTCACAATATTTCGACGAGTCAATATTTAAACAATCATCACCACTGCAGCTCAGGCATGATAGTCTATTTTTCTCAGGATAGACTATACCATTGCATAGATCATCATCGCACTTTATACAACTCGGAGTGCTATTACCGCATAATGAAGTGGGATTGAGATAACTAGCACAACCTCTCACGGTCTCGCCGTTTTCATTAACACCGATGAAGCACTCTGATAAGCAGTCTACAATATCACCGATTGTGGGATGAAAACAATCGATTCCCTCACATTGGAAGCACTTGTTACCACGACGTTCAACGGCGTTATTGCATAATGAGCCTGAACATTTTGTACATTGGATATCATTAGGATCATCACAAATTGATTGAGTTTCAACCGGAACATCCTCGTAACAGTCTCTGTAAATGACTTCATTATTAGTTCCGAAAAATGTTATACATCCTTCATTATTATTATAGTTGGTGCAGATTTTGTCTTTAGTTTGTCCATTCAAACAGGAATCGCCAACACAAAATTTACATGATATCCTATCTCTTGGAAAGATGGCATTATTGCAATTAGTTCCAGTACATGATTCGCAGATGCCGTAATTGCATTCTGTTATGTCTGTTAAGCATCCTCTTTCAAGATATTGATCAGCTGCGGAAACTGCCAGTCTTGTAAAACATTCATTTGATGTGCATCGCTTTGTAGCTCTAAAATTTTCACTCATACATTCTGGATCGTCAATTGTGTTACATCCAATACAGGAAAATGTTTGAGCAATTGAAGTATCGCTATTACATTCGTCAATTGAACACGTCAAGCAATTACTTCGATTATTTTTACATTCATCTAAAGAATCCACCTCACTTATACACCCACGCGTCTCTACAGCATCTACTTCGGGTGAATAAATTGTTACACATTTCTCATCCGGATGATATCTCGAGCAATATTGCACGTCGTCTTTTGAAGGTTGACAAAACTGATCGGGGCATGTATGACATTGAAGTCTTCCTCTTATTGGATAAAGAATTGCATTGCAATAATCGGTGTCGCATGTGAAACATTGATTAATTGAATTTTCATCTTTTGAACAGCCTTTTGTGTCTCCATATTCACTAGCACATCCTCTTGTCATGAGGCCATTATCTATGTGTGGTGATAAAAATGCAAATTAATTCATTAGATTATCGGTTTTGTTCGACATTGTTGTAGAGACAGAGGTACGGGGAATTTAGAAAGAGATTAGGATGGAAATGGATTTTCAAAGGAGACGGGTTTGGCATTTTTAATTGCGCACTGTTAATGAGTTTCAAAAAAAACTTTATTTTTTCGGCACCAAAATTATGTAAATTTACCGTCTATTCCAATATAACAAGACGATTCACAATCAACTTGAGCTGTTGACTCTATTTCAATATTTAAGCACTCTATTCCGTCACATAAGAAGCATGAAATCGTGCTACTTCGAACACTAGCTAATAACACTTGATTAGTATCATTTAGGCAATTAACAGGACTTAATGTATCACAAAATTCTCCTGTAGTGCCAGCAAAACAGCCAAATGACACTAGAACTATCGATAAAAATTCCACAGATTTCATTTTTTCACTTTACTCATTCTATTTTACTTGCAAATATTCAAAATAACTACTGAAGTTGCTGTGCACAATTGTTTTACCTTTTATTGAAAATCTCTTCCTATAAAAAAGGCACTTGAAGCTTTATTATTATTGAATATAAAATATTGACTCATGATAACTCGCACTGAAGTAAATCTAATGTTGTGATTGATGATTGATATTGTATCATCTATAATAAAAATGAATTGACACACACACCAACATGTTGAAGCTTTTTATGATACATCATCACATTGAAAAATTGAAAATACAGATTTAGGTGTTCGGTGCACGCCCTTGCTACTAACTCAGAATATCAAAAGTTGTAATTTATTCTGCATTGTTATAGATAATCCATTTGGTTAACTTTATTGCATTTTCACTCTGTGAATCTTTACAAGTTAATTTTAGATGAGTTTTCAGACTAGATTTTCGAATAAAGGAACATCAACAAAAGCTCATAAAGTAAGAATAAAGCTAAAGCTTCTTTCAAAAAAATTTATATTCAACCATTGAGTTGCATTAAATTATTTATCTACTCGTAAAATTGTCTGGTTTTTCCTTTTAACCACAACTTTTATAACCAAAATTTATTTGGCTTCTGATTTTGTTAAATTTTGTTGAAGCCACAACAACTGGTTTTTTGTAAGCTCGTCCAAAGTTTTTCATTATCAAAGTCAAAAGTGAAGATTTAAATGTAAGTTTTTATTTTTTTCCGAAATTAGAATTGAAACCACATGAATGATTTCCTTTGTTTTGGTTCTTTTACAGTTTTTTTGATTCTAAGAAGAAGTTCAAGGAGCATTATAAAGATGCAATTTAGGGGTGTCCGCATCATGAATGTACGTGACCAAGCAGAATGCGGAAAATCAGTTTTATATTCGTACTGGATTCTTATCTAGAAGGTTCTAGCATTAAAATTGAAATCAATTTAGTTTCAATTGCACTATGGGGCAAAATTGAAAAAAAGGGGTAATTCACTTCGAAAATAGGACTCTTTCAATTTAGGTTCTCGGGGTATTTTTTTCTTGTAGAGAACAATAAATTAGACTTGCATGCCAAATTTCAGACCATTTTGTGCTGTTTTTGAGATTCTAGAGCTATTTGAAGTTGAAAATGAGCAAAAAAACTGGTTTTTTCATGACATATTTAAACTTAAAAATCTCTGCAATGTTTAAAGTTATTGAAAAATTGTTTTCGGTTCCTCTAAGAACAATATAAGAGCTTTATTTTAATGTATTGTAAAATTTTTAACTTTCCAGTTTTGGTGCTGGTATGGTTGGAAATGTACGAAAATCCTATGAAAAATATCTATAAACGTGCCGCAACTATCTTAGCAGGGCGATTTCCAGGTAACTGAATATACAGAAATATAGCTCTTGATATACAATTTGTAAAACTGTATAAACATTAGAAATAACAAGGTACGTTTTTGAGAAAAATTGGTTTGTGTAAGTCGTGAAATATTAAGCCAAAAACTGATTTTTCTCTTAAAAATAACAAATCATTCATAGTAGAAAAGTTTGGTAATGTTTTCTAATTGCAAATAATATTTAAAGACAACCTGCAAAGATTTTTTTTCGAAAAACTCAAAATTTGACGAGATATCGGGTACATTTGATATCTGATGACTTGTATGTTTTTTGCACTACTCAAATGACTCTAACTTTTGTTTAACTTAATATTTTTCAGTTCTGTTTCCTGTTTATTGTAGCTTAAGTCAATACCTTTCTAACAATATATAATACTTGATAGTTGCATATGACATTGATCTTGATTATTGGCATTGTTTGTGAATGACCCCAAACTAAGAAAAATCTTGAAAACAACATTTCTAGAAATACCACTTAGAAAGAAAATTGTATATTGTTTTGAGGTTTTTTATGATGATTTATGATAATTATGACTGTTAAAACTCAAAAACATGGAATTCATAAACTTTTTGCGATCTCAGGTAGCCTGATTAGGTACGACCCTAGTAGTATCTATTGGACCAGAAAGTCTCTAGTATCAGACTATTTTAAAAACTCAAATTAATGAATTCATCATATTTAAGCATATTTATAGCAAAATATTTCATTTTTAGATACTTTTGGTTGAAAAATTGTAAATTTTGGCTATTTTGTTTAAGTTCAGCTTGCGTCGGTCACATTCAATCCACTCTAGTTGCAACTATAATGAAGTTTTATACCAGTATTATACATTATCTTAAAGGTACTGATCTAAACTAGCAATAATTGAAAACAGAATGCAAAAATATGTATCCTGAAAAAAGTTAGAGCTCTTTATGTACATAAAAAAGCATACAAAAACGCAACCATCATAGGTAAAAATACAAAAATTGAAAATTTATCAGTTTTTTTGACAAGCTTTGATTTTTTTGTAATAATAACCACATATAAACACATTTTCAATACTTTTTTCGTTTAGATTTTTAAAATAGTCTGATACTAGAGACTTTCTGGTCCAATAGATACTACTAGGGTCGTACCTAATCAGGCTACCTGAGATCGCAAAAAGTTTATGAATTCCATGTTTTTGAGTTTTAACAGTCATAATTATCATAAATCATCATAAAAAACCTCAAAACAATATACAATTTTCTTTCTAAGTGGTATTTCTAGAAATGTTGTTTTCAAGATTTTTCTTAGTTTGGGGTCATTCACAAACAATGCCAATAATCAAGATCAATGTCATATGCAACTATCAAGTATTATATATTGTTAGAAAGGTATTGACTTAAGCTACAATAAACAGGAAACAGAACTGAAAAATATTAAGTTAAACAAAAGTTAGAGTCATTTGAGTGGTGCAAAAAACATACAAGTCATAAGATATCAAATGTACCCGATATCTCGTCAAATTTTGAGTTTTTCGAAAAAAAATCTTTGCAGGTTGTCTTTAAATATTATTTGCAATTAGAAAACATTACCAAACTTTTCTACTATGAATGATTTGTTATTTTTAAGAGAAAAATCAGTTTTTGGCTTAATATTTCACGACTTACACAAACCAATTTTTCTCAAAAACGTACCTTGTTATTTCTAATGTTTATACAGTTTTACAAATTGTATATCAAGAGCTATATTTCTGTATATTCAGTTACCTGGAAATCGCCCTGCTAAGATAGTTGCGGCACGTTTATAGATATTTTTCATAGGATTTTCGTACATTTCCAACCATACCAGCACCAAAACTGGAAAGTTAAAAATTTTACAATACATTAAAATAAAGCTCTTATATTGTTCTTAGAGGAACCGAAAACAATTTTTCAATAACTTTAAACATTGCAGAGATTTTTAAGTTTAAATATGTCATGAAAAAACCAGTTTTTTTGCTCATTTTCAACTTCAAATAGCTCTAGAATCTCAAAAACAGCACAAAATGGTCTGAAATTTGGCATGCAAGTCTAATTTATTGTTCTCTACAAGAAAAAAATACCCCGAGAACCTAAATTGAAAGAGTCCTATTTTCGAAGTGAATTACCCCTTTTTTTCAATTTTGCCCCATAGTGAATTGTCTATTTTTTAAGATAAAGACATGAAGTCAAGACATTGGTTTTATTCTATACAAAATGTATATGTTTAAATGGTAAGTGATATGGATCTTATGAATGCTCAAAATTCTACAGGTTGACAATAAAAAATTTTTAACAATTTTTAAATTTGTCTTCAAAGGTATATTGCCTTCTCCCTTTAAAGCGTAACGTTATTAGTATATGAATCCAGAACAAAAGCATTCTTTAAAGGTTACATCTTACTTACTTACTTCACTGGCCGTACAGATCAATTGTGATCCATGACCTCCCTTAGATGGTGCCTGAAGCTGGCTCTATCGCTGGCTCCCGTTTGCCAATTACCCATACCAAATGCAATACTGTCTCTGTTACCAGCTTCTTTAAAGGTTACATCCATTTCTTTGATATTCCACTTAATTTTGAGGACGCTCATTTTTATCAATTTAAGAATCTTGTGTCAAGGAAAGTGCCACATTTGCTAAACAAAAATTAGATGCGATATAAACTGACAGCTTTTACTGACGGTACAAATATATTACCAAATTGGGTGACATAGATATGTAGACACATCATGATGGCATGAAATAGAAAAATCGATAAGGGTAAGAAATGAAACTCGGCAGTCATTTAAAAGTCTTCATTTTGTACTTTTTACAAGCTTGTTTAACATGTCAAGATTTAAATGAGAAAAATGCATTATTACCGAGATCGGAAAGGTGAAAGGAACAGTTTGGAATATTTATAAAAATAAGATCATTCGCCCTAAAAAGCACCAAATTAACAAGTGCGTGACAAACTGAAAACAAGACATTAACATTACTGTCACTTCACATTTATTCGGTTTTCAACTTTTGTTCTGTATTTTTAGACCAATAATTACATTTACCTTGCTAATGTATAAACAAATTAGATATAGAACTTAATGATTGCTTAATTTTCCCACAGAACATTACATATCTAGAGAGAATATCAAATAAAAAGTCTAATTTCTATTTTTATGCTTGCTTCATTCAAATGTTACATTTAAAGTGAGAAATTCTTAGAGACTGTTGGACGTAATTCATGATAAGAAGCAGTTGAGTTTCGCATTTTTTAATTCAACATTCAAAGAAATAAATTTGGAAACATAATTAAACTTAGGAGAATTAAAGATTTGTCATTTATCTATAAGCACATGTGTATTATCAAACAGTATGAGTTTAGGTCAGCTTTAATGTTCTGCATGAACTTAATTGTTGAAATAGGGGTTTTTGCAATTGCTGATGATAGGGGAGGATAAACAGTTCAACCTGTACCTGCTCCATTTTCTACGAATGAACTAGAAAGAAGAAGAGTAAGAGAGGGGGTAAAAGTCAGAAACTTATATTATTTATTCGAGGAAAAGCTATATCAGGTGCCCCAAGTATTAGGGGAACAAGTCAGTTTCCGAATCCAATTGGAACGCTGAATACTTTACTAGATTAGAATTAAGTTTCATGCTTTTGGGGCATTGAACGCTAAATGCTATACAGGATTC